CTTTATAATAACTATAAAAAGCTGATATTGTCCACTGAAATAATATAGCATACAGATGAAAAATAGCCTTTTGGCTAATTCTGGCATATTTACACAAATGTTTATTAATTTGCACTGTCCCTGTAATAAAAAAAATAAAAATAAATTTAAAAAACCTTCCGTAGCATATCCTTTTAAAGGGATAGTTCATCCAAAAATGAAAATTTTATCATTTATTACTCATGTCATTCCAAACCTATAAGTCTTTCATTCATGTAAGACTTGGTGAGGTGTGGGTTGACAGAGGAGCTGAGGGAGGGAGGAATGGAGGCGGAGAAGTTGAGGTAGCGGGGACAGTAGCCGGAGGAGCCAGGGAATCCCCCAATCCCAGTTGAGGATGGTTCATGGGATGCCCCAGGTGAATCCCCAACACAGTGAGGTAAGGGATGAACAATGGCTGATTTCCTCAGCCGCAGTTTTACTGCTCTGGTCGAAGCATATGAGACCGCTTCAGCACTGGCTTAAGATTTGAGTCCCAAGATGGGCATGTCACAGTGGTACACATCACATGGCTATCACGCTTATCTGTCACTGCACATTCAGCTCTAGACGCATTTCTACAGATGCATCCAACATTGGTTGGGGTGCTGAATCCAATGGGCATGTAGCCTTGGGATCCTGGACAGGACCCAGATTGTGTTGGCACAAATGGCGCTTTTCAACTACACAGTACCAGCTCGACTCGACTCAACTCGCCTTTGTTTGGTTTTCCACTGTGTAAAGTTGTACCTGTTCCTGCTTTCGGGTACTTTTTTTGTATCACCTCCAGCGAGGTTCTGAGCGAGCTAAGGCGATACTAAAGTGTGACGTGAAAACAATGCCGACTGCTGATTGGTCAGAGAGAATCGTCCCTATAGTTACTAAACGTACTACTATTATTATGGCAACTCGGAAGAATACGCCGTGGTCAAACGAGGAGGTGCAGACCTTCCTTTTTTGGTTGCAGAAGCGAGGGATCCAGCGAGAGCTTGATGGGGCAACGAGGAACGAAAGGCGTCGCTATGACGACCGAGTACTATTTGTGGCAGTACTGCCTGCAATGAAAAACGGCACGAAAAGCGAGCAGAGTCGAGTTGAGCTGGTACTGGAAAAGTGGCTATAGACTACCTCAAGTTGTTGACAGTACTGATGGCGTTCCACTAAGCACGTGTTGGTCCGGTGCTGGTGGTCATGCTCCTCATGACAGCCCCTACTTTGTGAATTCCCCTTAGGAAGGACCTTCTTTCTCAGGGGTAGGGCACAATTTGGCACCAACGCCCAGACCTCTACAACCTCCAAGTCTTGCTCTGGCCCTGCAAGAAAGCACCATCCTAAGGTGCACTGCACTAAGGTGACACAATGGATGGAAAGTCCTTAGGGAAGCACAACCTAATCATCAGGTTCCTTAGAGGTGCCCGGAGGTTAAATCATCCAGGTCTGTACCTTATTCCTTCTTAGGACCTCTCTGTAGTGTTGCCGGGCCTATAGAGAGCCCTGTTTGAGCCCCTGGTGTCAATTAAGCTTAGTGCCCTCACACCTACATCTATCAAAAGGGTTGGGGACCTGCAAGCATTCTCTGTTAGCAAAACGTGCCTTCGGTTCAGTCTGGCATACTCACGTGATCCTGAGACCCCGACTGGGCTATGTGCCCAAAGTTCCCAGTACCCCTTTTTGGGATCAAGTGGACTTATCTTTGCTGTGTCCAGTGCATGCTCTTTGTAATTACTTGGACCACACAGAGAGTTTCAGATGCTCTGAGCAGCTCTTTGTCTGTTTTGGGGGACAGCAGAAGGGGAAGGCTATCTCCAAACAGAGGATTGTGGATCCCATTTCTCCGGCATACCAAACACAGAATTGGCCGTCCCCCGCCGGAGAGCGAGCGCACTCCAATAGGAGTGTCGCATCCTCTGGGGTACAAGTGAATGTTACCTTTGCCAGATTTTACAATCTCTCGGTTTAGCCTGTTTCTTCCCAAATATTATGAGACACGTATAGGTAAACTTTGGACAACTGGTCCAGTGTATTGCTTGCACACAGCGCTTGTCCCCTCCTTGAGGTGATAACGTGTGCATTTTTTCCATGTGGGTTCCCGATGTCCGGCAAACCCTGGCCAAATTTGGTGGTGGAATTTGCTGCCAGGCCAATTGCTTGTGGTATGTCCCTTTTTACGTGAGCCCTTGGACTTGGGTTGGGTGCTCCATATTTCTGGATTACCTGATGGCAATCCCATATGATGTATTTTCACTGTTCAGTTTCCCGGTTGGTAAACTCACACCACAGAGACTTTTTTACCCATGTGGTACCTCCCTTGTGGTCTCCACAGTGTCCTTTTTGCTGCATAGGAAAAAAGTCACTTTCAGCACCATTTCGACCCTCCACCCCTCTGGCTTGGCAGGGCTCCTCCTTCCCTCCGGATCCACTATTCTCCTGACTCCCACAGGCGCTGGCTTCGTTTTGGCTCTTCAGGCCTACAGTGTCACCATGAGTCTTCGTTTTCTAGCCTCGGTCTGCGTCCCCACTTCTCCCAGCCTTACCTTAGTTGGACAGGTTCCTGTCTCCACCCTGGCTTCTCCCTCCATTGGTTTCACCTTGGGCCTTCGGTCGGGTGACTCTGCTCTGGGTCACTACCTGGCTCCTTCCTCCCTGGCTTCTCCCTCCATTGTCGATTCCCTGGCTCCTCGCTCCCCCCAGCATCTCCTTGGAGTTTTTCCATTCTATTCTGTGGACTGTTTATTTGCTTTCTACTTCCATTTAGTTATTGTATTTCTTTTCTCTGTTCGAAATCGAATACTACTCTACTATATAGTATGTGAAAAATAGTACACCAACAGAGTAGTATGTTCAAATACATAGTACTCGAAATACAGTAGGCGCAAAGTACCTAGATGACCTACTACTTCTACAGAGATTCGTAAGTATGGATTTGATGGACACTTTACTATTAAATGAGCCCACGGGAGAGGATTTGTGAATGGCGAAGCGACACAACTGATGCTCTAGGTCACATGACAGTGACAACATGGCATATGTAGTGCATCCGAATTTCATTCATACTACACATATAAAACAGTGGTTCCCAACTCTGGTCCTGGAGTACCTCAAACTACACATTTTGCATGTCTCCCTAATCAAACACACCAGATTCAACTCATCAGCTAGTTAGTAGAGATGTCAACCAAAAACTAAATAAAACCCACAATAATGTATGCAGCCAGTAAAGCTAGCTATTAGTGATGGCGCAGTGGATAAGACACATGCCTTTGGTGTGAGAGACTCGGGTTCGACTGTGAGACACCAATGTGTCCCTGAGCAAGACACTTAACCCCTAGTTGCTCCAGAGGCGTGCGACCTCTGACGTATATAGCAATTGTAAGTTGCTTTGGATAAAAGCGTCAGCTAAATGAAGAATTTTAAATGTGTTCTACACATCAACAATATTTAAAATAACATATTAAAAAAATCATTGTGTTGTGAGTGTTTTAGCCAAATAGAATAAATCAGGTTTAACCTGGAAATGATTTTCGATTAGATCAACATAAAAATGCACTTTAAATAAATGACATGTTTTTTTACATTGTCACATTGTCCTAAAAACTACACATGTGGGAGGAGACTGGCTAGCAATGAGTTTCAGGTGTGTGTAGCAAGTCATATGACCAAGAAAGCATGAATAATTGTTGCAGAAACAGATGTTTGTGAAGTTGTGCTCGACGTGCAGCCTCTTTACCCTTTCATTTAGGTATTGGAGTTATTAGTTGTGTGATTTGTTTATGTTGAATGAGTGCGTTTTAATAGCTCAATTCCATTCTTATTTGATCCCTTTTTTCCTTTAGGCTGATTTATTAACAGGTTTTACCCTCTGTCTTGGAAGCTGGGCAGACAAATATTTATTGCTGCGGTACCTTCCATGGGCTGTGTAGGAGTGTGAACAACCGGTAAATGCAGTATACCTTTTATTGAGGCCGATGGGTTATGAATTTGAGTCTGCAGTTGTACTTTCGCTAAAGTAGGTTTTGTTTTCTCTTATTGGAGGTTAACGTGTATGTGGTTTTTGTTTCTTGTTAAAGGAGCAGTCCAGCCACTGTCTCTTGGTGTTTTTCTTTACTTAATTCTATATTGATGTTTATTTTGACCCTATTAAATATTGTTTGTCATTTGCTTTTGTTTGTGTGGTACTGCTTTCCTCGTTTTTTGTGTTACAGTGTCTAACGGATTTGTACAGGGACGAAAAGCCTGCATCCACACTTAACCTCCCCCGGTGTAGGTGATTCGGGTGGCGTGGCACTGCTGTGAGGTGTGTATTAGAAGGTTGGCACTGTAATGGTGATTAATGGTTGCTACTTGTTTGCGGTGAATCCTTTGGGTTTTTCTTGTGGTTTCTATTCTCAGGTGGCAGGAGGCGGATGAGAGCAGGCCCGACCCTGTTACGGATATTATTACGGACACATGTTTTAGTTGGTGTGTTAATCTTTGATGGTCTTTGTTGGAACAATAAAATTGTTTTTTGTTTTATAAACTATGTTAGATGCTTCCTCCTCCCTTAAATAAGGAGATCGCATAGTCAGTGAATATTTCCTATACTACACAGAAAATATAGTAAGAATGAGTATTGAATTAGCTTAGCAACATGCTATTGTCAGAATAAACAGAACGCTAGGTAAGTGTGACAGGCTGCTTGGTCAAGTCTGAGTGTCATTTTGATTGTCTAAAGTCATTACTCATGAAATTCCAATTCAGTTAGGGGTTGAGTCAGCTCATTAGGCTCGTTGTAAATGTTAGCATTGGTGTCTTAGTAGAATACTTATATACGCAGCTGAAACACTCCAAGGTCACCTGTCTCATTACATATCATTACATTTAAAAACATCATGCATTTTTTATTACACCATAAAAATTTAAACAAATGTACAGAACAGTATTCACGGTTAATTTTGTAAATTATACTGTTATTGGACTATGTTTCAGCACTGGGAAAAACTCACCAGAAATTGACCAGGAACGGGTGCTCTAGGTTCTGCATTATCTGGAGCTCTTTGAAGACGTTGCGCACCTCGTTGCGCTCCACACACTGAAGTTTGTTCATATACTTCATGGCGTACATTTTCTTTGTGTCCTTTTTCTGAACAATGCATACCTGGGAAACAAAATGTAAGTGGTCTTTATTGAAATAAATCTGAATTCAATGTTGCTGAAAAACTGGACAGTGTCTGTTGCACTCAATAGTGCTAGCCCACTTTTTCAGCGGTGTTAGTTCTGTATTTTTTTCCTGTACATTTTTTCTAAAGCCATGTAACCAAACCAGAGAATGGTACAAGACTGTGTACTTAACGGCTTTAGTGAGGGAAATAACTCGTTAATTCCATGAAGCACAGCAAATGAAATACTAAAATAAAAAAATTATGGTGAAATATAAAAAAAATACTATTTTGATTAAAAATATTGTAGGTTTAACTGACAAAAACTAAGTTTAACCTACAAAAATGTTATGTTCATTGAAACTGAAAATTTGTGTTAATACAATTAATTTTTAATTAATTAATAAATTAATTAAAATCAATTAATAAATTTGAGCTTGAATCTCAAAATATTATGTTATCTGAACTACATAAATTATCTAAGTTGATTTGACAAAAGAAAAATGTTATTATTACTAATCATATATAGATATGATCAAATATGCATATATCTAAAAATATTAGTATTATAATATTAGTAAATATAAGTATTTTGAGAGTGTATGGAGACTGATTTGACTACATCATTCACAGTGCTTCATGCAGAGCTCTTTTGGCTCAATTTGCTAGGCAATTACTCTGATTGGTGGAGTAGGTAATGCCATTTTTCACCACAAATTTTGCTGTCTAACATGATTTGCTGAAATATTGCAAACTCAAGGCTATAACAAGAACGTGCCACTGATTTAAATTTTTATTTTTAAATGTTCACCTATATGTTATCGTTAAAAATACACTTTTTTTTCAATTTCCCTATGCAAAAAACAATATTGCGCAATAATAGACAATTGGCTTGCCATACTATGGAGTCAATATAGTAGTAATCAACCGTCTTGAAGCCAACTGGAGCACTTTTTCTAGAGTTAATTGAATTCTCTAAATTAGGTCTTAATCTACATTATTAATGTTTCAAGGACAATCAATGAAGATCCCTGACAATTCACTTTGGCCTCGGTACAATGAGCTTCATTTGTTTTGATTATTGGTTTGTTTTAAAGTCAATATATAGAGCAAAACTTACTTTCCCAAAACTGCCTTTACCAATGGCTCTCAAGATCTGAAAGTGGTCAAAATTGACTGTGGAGAGACAAAAAGGTAATGTAACAGTTAGTGCATTGCAAGATACAATGATTTTCTTTCTTCTGTGGAACACAAAACACACATATACATTGAAAATCAATGGGTAATATGATGACTTTGTCCAGCCAACACAGAAAGCACTGTAGCAGATGGGAGGAACAGAACAGATTCAACCAATCCCCCCCACACCTCAAGGACAATTACTCTGCTGAATTGTAAATAAAACCAGCTATCAGCAAATTAGTTTTTTTATGAAGTTGCGCATCTGATTTAGAGAGTTATGCAGTCCGACTCAAAGCATAATCTCTAATGCAGCCAAACTCATCATCTGACCCGTGAATGACCCTTGCCCATCTCTCTTCTCTCAAAGCTCGTCTATCTGAAACTGCAGTCCAATACATGCTGTCAGCAGCAATTACAGTTTGATTGTCACTACTCGATAGACACTAGTCTGTTGGTTGAGGACCAGCAATTATATTTTTTAAATGTGAAGTCTTTCTCTGCCTCAGGCCCTCAATCCTGTAATTGTGGACAAATGTGGGCACGGAGGACTCAGGTGTGATCCTAATTTTTATTTATTATAAATATTATATTACTGTCTTTGATAAAGTTTTGTCTAGCCATTTATGGTTTTTTTTTTTTTATTTTGGGGGTATTTTTGAATTTATTTACTTCAAAAAGTACCATAGTTTCTTTGTAAATTATGCTTATTTTTATGTTTTATTTTTTTAATCTACATTAAAATATCATTCCATTAAGTTCTTAGAGCTAAAACCTAAAGATGAAGTGACTTCAAGTCACCTGGTGTCTTATTTTGGCTTATTTTAATTACAGTTTTTCCCATTCATTTCTATGGGTGCCCATTTTTGACCCAAATACAAGATTAAAGAGTTTTTTTCACCCACGTAACATTGTAGAATTGAGTCCAAAAAAAAAAAAAGTGTGTGTTCAGGAGGCAAACTTAGGAAAAGTAGCCAAGTCTTGTACTGCTCAGATCAAGGGAAGTATTTTTTAAAATAAATCAAAACTATTTTGCCCACATTTGTCCAGAATACGGTTTTAAGCAATATGTACTGTAACTTTCAGGATCCAGTGAGAGCCAAATCAATTTTTTTTTCAAGAATGCCCCGCAAAGTCTTGAAAATAGAGTCAAACAAGGATGAAGAAATAAAGTCATAAAGGTGGGTAATTTTCATTTTTCAGTGCTGTATGTGCACAGTGTACTTAACCAACTATGATTGGATTTTAGGCTTAGGATTTGGGTTAATAGCAAGTACCCCGTTATTGACGTTCCTACAGTAAGGTCATAATATATACATGCAGAACTGGACTGCAAAATAACGTGTTTTTGGGAGAACTGCAGTCTCCCTTTAAGGCATCCTTCAGAAGACCTCAACCCTGTGTGTGTGTGTGTATAGTAAATTCAATGTACTTGTAATTCATAGAAGTTGCCCAGTTACACCAACTAAACTGAATGATTATTACTTTCTAGGCCTTTACTATTGTTACTATTGGTATCTTGCTTCTTATATTGTGGGAGATTATCTAAAAATCTATATACACTGATCAACAATAACATTAAATCCAATCTGGTCCAATCACACAGAGAAGCTACTGTCAAATTGCTGAAAGGCTTAATGCTGTTCAATTATAGAAAGGTTTCAGATCAAATCCATCTTTGTTCAAGCCCTTAGTTGGCCCACTTTGATATACGTTAGGGTATCGGCTGTTGAACCAAAGGAAGCCCTGAAAGTGAAAGTGACAGTGGCGCTTTTGGCCTGAGAGTGGAAACACAGCTAAAGGGGTTGCCTGGTGGCAGTGGCCTCTTTCAGCAGGATAATACACCCTGACACACTGCACACATTGTTCAGGGATGGTTTGAGGAACATGACAAAGAGTTAAAAGTCTTGACTTGGCCTACATATTCCCCAGATCTCAGTCCAATTGAGCACCTATGGGATGTGGATGTGAATGGACCCCATCTCTGCAGGATCTGCTGCTAATGTCTTGGTCCCAGAGACCACAGATGTCTCAGAGCTGTTTTGGCAGCATGAGGGGGACCTACACAATATTAGACAGGTGTTTTTAATGTTGTGGCTGATAAGCATCTGATAGTGTTATAGCTGAAAGGAACATAACATATGAAGCAATATAAAGAGGTTTATTAAAAGTTTGCTTCCTTCTGTTGGGAGTGGGACAGAAACAATTGAAGAGTTCAGATGCAAAAACCTCTAAGTGCCATTTGAAATTTTCTTCTAGAATGATCATTTTTATCAAGCTTGTATATTTAAGTTCAGTGATTTCACTTAAATGGCAATGAAGATTACCTATTAATTGTTATTTAAGTGAAATTACTGAACTTAAATATACAAGTTTGACAAAAATCATCATTAAAGAAGAAAATTTCAAATGGCATTTAGAAACTCTTCAATTGTCCTTTTTTTGCTTATTTAAAGGAGTAGTTCACTTTAAAAAAAAAACCTTTGCTGATAATTTACTCGCCCCCATGTCATCCAAGATGTCCATGTCTTTCTTTCTTCAGTCAAAAAGAAATTAAGGTTTTTGATGAAAACATTCCAGGATTATTCTTCACATAATGGACTTCAATGGGAACCAAACGGTTCAAGGTCCAAAAGACAGTTTCAGTGCAGCTTCAAAGGGCTTTAAACGACAACAGACGATGAATAAGGGTCTTATCTAGCGAAACGATCGCTCATTTAATAAATAAATAACAAAGTTTAAGTTTTATAAGCGCAAATGCTCACCTTGCTCTGTTCTGTGATGCGCGTTCGTGACTCTCCTGTTCGAACTCGTTCATCAAAATGAACAAATCTTTTTTTGAGTCATGACTCGAAGGGTCCTAGATAAGACCCTTATTCATCGTCTTTTGGACCTTGAACCGTTTGGTTCCCAATGAAGTCCATTATATGGAGAAAATCCTGGAATGTTTCCATCAAAAACCTTAATTTCTTTTCGACTGAAGAAAGAAAGACATGGACATCTTGGATGACATGGGGGTGAGTAAATTATCAGCAAAAGTTTTTTTAAAAGTGAACTACTCCTTTAAACTATATGAAGTATCGAAATTTCATAGTTTTAATAAAACAAAGAGAAAATTAAATGAAATGGTACTTTTAAAATGGTATTTTTTTTGTAAAAAAAAAATTGACCAAACTCGAGATAAACTTCAAAGATTAAATATAGAGCTACTTTAAAAATAAAAGGTACATTTGAGGGACTTGTTTTGTCCCATGTCTCAAGAGCCATTGAGTGAACTATTGAGTGTGGGCAAACGATCTAGGACAGCCACTTAGAGAACGCTGACACCCTTTTTCACGGAGACATCCAGAAGGGTCATAAGCTTGTCCTAAATAGCAAAAGCCCCATCTCTAAGAGGAAATTCTTACCACAAAGAGAAATAACAATTTCCAAATCAAGGCTTCAATTAAATTTGAAAAGATCTCTTTACAAAAACTCTTTAAAAAAAAAAAGCTAAACATGCTCTACATTGAAGTGCAGGAAATGTGTTTCTGTCTATCAGTACTGTTTGACTATTAGTGGTGCTTACATTTTGTTTTGTATTGTTTTAAATGTGAAAACTAAACAGATCTGTGTCGGATTGACATATATATCATGACGACTATCTTTGGTCTTGGTGAAATAGATCTATTAAGCCGCAGCTGCTGTTTAATATTGCTGTTGTTGTAGATTGCTGCTGCTGCTACAGAGGAACTTGCTACTGTCAATACATACGGCGTTACGCTGCAGTGAGCATGTAAGACATACTTCTGCTGCACAAAAAGCATATATAAAATTACAAAGCTGGAAACAAGAAGAATATGAATAATACAAGCCAAAATGTTTATGCTGCATGAAAACACACTGCTGCTATACGATAATATGCTTAAAATGACCCCCATATCAAAGTTGACCAGTAGGCTCTGACTTGTCTCCTCACACCTTCAGCTCCACCAGGGACCGTCGTCCTCAAAAAATAAAAAAAATCAAATGCCTATTTTACTTTAACGAGTTCATGCATCAGCCATGCTTTGTTACTGAAATCTCAACAACTTGCAAACAGTATAATTAGAATTTATTATGCATTCGGCTGTTGTTAATATTCACTAACACAGCAATCTGAATTAGCAATCTGTTCAAAGTGTTCAAAACTGCTGTAAACCCTGCTGAATAACTGGAACAAAAGCAAATTCCTATTTCAACTTTCACAAGTTTACATACCGGCACAAACCTTTGTCACTGTATCCTCCTCACAGCATGACAACTGCTGCCAATGTGTAAACAGAAATTGCATATTCGCTAGTTGCTAACATGCTAATTCATCCACACTATGCAAAACAGGACTTTTTTTTTTTACTTAATTTCATAATTAATGAACTTTACACATCACTGAACCCAAAACTTATTAACAATGAATTATATGGGTCATTGACTTTGACTTTTTTTTATTTAAAGCTAAAATTAATCTTGTTGCATCACTAATCATCATTAGCCCGTACACCGCATTAGCAAAACTGCTCCGAAATTGTCTTGGTTTGTATTGTACCATTAAAGGAGTAGTTTACTTTAAAAGAAAAAAAAAAAAAAAAACTTTTGCTGATTATTTACTCACCCCCGTGTCATCCAAGATGTCCATGTCTTTCTTTCTTTAGTCGAAAAGAAATTGAGATTTTTGATGAAAACATTCCAGGATTTTCTCCATATAATGGACTTCAATGGGAACCAAACGGTTCAAGGTCCAAAAGACAGTTTCAGTGCAGCTTCAAAGGGCTTTAAACCATTTCAGATGATGAATAAGGGTCTTATCAAGCAAAACGATCGCTCATCTAAAAAAAAAATCCAAAAAATCAAAATGAACGAATCTTTTTCCGAGTCAATTCGTTTATTTCGTTCGTTGAAAAAAAGTTTGAGAGTTCGAACAGGAGAGTCACGAACGCGCATCCCAGAACAGAGCAAGGGGACCATTTGAGCTTATAAAACTTAAACTTTGTTATTTTTTTTAAATGAGCGATCGTTTCGCTTGATAAGACCCTTATTAATCATCTGGAATCGTTTAAAGCCCTTTAAACAGTTTGCACTGAAAGTGTCTTTTGGTCCTTGAACCGTTTGGTTCCCATTGAAGTCCATTATATGGAGAAAATCCTGGAATGTTTTCATCAAAAATCTAAATTTTTCTTTTCGACTAAAGAAAGAAAGACATGGACATCTTGGATGACATGGGGGTGAGTAAATTATCAGCAAATTTTTTTTTTTTTTTTTTTTTTTTTTAAGTAAACTACTCCTTTAATGGTAATTTCTTTTCCACTGAAGAAAGAAAGACATGGACAAAGGCGATCTGAGAATTATGAAGCTTGGTTCTGCCATTGGACAGCATCTGAAATCAGCCCACACACACTCAGCGATGCCCTTAGAAAATATTGAAAGCATTGTTGAAGGTTTTAAGAGTGAAAATGATGATCCCAGGTGTGCGAATACCGAATTCCCTTAAACTGTTCTTAAACCCGCAATGCTTCGAAGGTGTATTCTCACATCGACTACATAAACCACTTATAAGCTGCTGCTTATAAAATGCACCGACTAGCTGCAGTTGCACAGGAACCAGTCAGCTTGTGCTATGCAGAAAACCATGTGAGTATCATCAGGTTGTAAAGCCATAGAAACTTTCGGGGAGTCTCTTTTTACACCCACGACACTCTCACACTATCGGTTATTTTCTCATTGACTAGCAACACTCCAATTTCGTTTAATAGTTGTTTGCTTTAGTCATTGTGCATACTGCTGTTTACCCACGTACATGATTACCTTGTAAAATGGGCCAACTGTACTTGTGATGGCCCATCTCTTCCTTTGACTCGTTTACGCTCAGGTGTCTTGGAATCTAGGTTGTAAAATTTAGACCCACCTGCACAAACCGATTTATGAGAACCTCAATAAATGACTTTCTGCACTCCGCAGCTTCGGATCCTGTTGAATGGGTTTACTCTGTTCTTAAACTGAGATCTCATCAGAAGACTGACATGGATTGTTTTGCCAGGATTATTAATTTTAGCTACAGGAAGTTGAAGAACAACTAAATAAGCAAATAACAACTAACAATTTATTCTCTACTTCACACAAAAAGAACTATGTGGTGTATAGTTCCACTTTAAGAATACTTTTACAGGTTACACTTTTTTAAGGGTGATTAAAGGGGTCATGAACTGGCTTTTTAATTATTTATATTGTTGTCTGGGGTCAGCTTATGACATTCACTTGGTTTTTACATAAAAAAATTTAAGTAATAGGCTATTTTCTACCCTAGTTTTGAGCCTAGCTGAAAAACGCTGGGTTTTTATGGGCGTCTCGCACTGAAGACTTGAAAGTAAACGCCCACTGCTGTGAGTGGATAACAGTTTTGCATATTATAATGAGTTTCAACTCACTCGCTTATGCAGCGACTGTCTTCTTCCACAATCAGGCGCTGCACAATATTCTGTATTGCTCGGTAGCTCGATCCGGTTTGTCATCGTGAGGTAGGCATCTATGTTATTTAGCTATGCGTGTAATGCGAGAATCAGTGGGCGGGGCTAAACCGGCCGTGTTGAAGTAGGTGTTGATCTTCTTCTGCGGGGGTGGGGTTTTATCCTCTTTGACGTCATAGTTCCCCACTTTGAAAAACGAGTCGTTTGCTGAGGCTGGTGTCAATAACTATTTTTATTGGACTAACACGGACGTTTTCAGTTCTGAAACTTACAGGATATTCTTATAATATGATGACCTCTTAGATGGCAAAAGCTCAAGGAAAATTGGATTTCTCAGTTCATCACCCCTTTAACCAAATGAGTCCTGAGTAATATGAATTAATTACATGAACTTGCAATAGAGTTAGATTTTAGGGTTAGGGTTTGTTGCTTGTAATAATGCAGAATTGACTGGTATTACTATAGTGAGTACATGTATTGCACTGTAAAAATTAATATGCTTTATCTAATCAAAAAAAATTGTGGCAACAGATTACAAGCATTATTATTAAATCAATTTAACAATAGAATTGAGTAATAATTAATCAAATGAATTCCTTAAAAGTTAACCATTTAAAATTAGTAAAACATACAAAAAAAACCCCAACAACGTAAATTTAAGTCACCATTATGGTGATCAGTGTTTGTTTTAAAATTATGGTTTTCTCCTTCAGTGATTCTGCTTCTTAACATCAGCTGTCTTCAATGTTGGCAATATAAAATAAAGAGTTCTTAATCTTTGACGTCTGTCTGTTATTTAGATATTTTTTGTTTAATTTTTGTTGTAAACTTTACTCACTTTAAATAGTTAACTTTTAAGGAATAATTTGATTAATTATTACTCAATTCTAATTTGTTCAATTTAATTAATAATATTGCTTGTAATCTGTTGCCACAATTTTATTGGTTAGATAAAGCATATTCATTTTTACAGTGTGCGTGATAGTCACTTTAAAATAAAGTGTTATGGTGCTTTTTGTTCTTTTTAGAGGTTGAGAGTCCCAGGTCACTAAATATAATCATTGCATGGAAAAGAGCAGCTCAGGTTTCTCTGTTTGTTCTCCATAGAGTTCATACTGTTTTGAAACAACAATGGGGTGAAAATTGGAGACAGGATTTCATTTTTGGCATATTAAGTCTCCTGAACACCCTCTGTCTGCCATTGGCTGGTCAAAATGATAGTCCTGCTCCTGCCTTAAACTCACCCCATTGGCTGATGTAGTGTTGCTGGGTCGGATTGGTTGGGATGCTCAAACTAATGTTTTGATAGAAACAATTTAGGGGAATAAACCTATAAAAAATTTTTTTTTTTTATTAAATATTGTTTTATATATTTAATTATAATATAATAATTAAAATATTTTTATTATTTTTTTAAACTATTTTAACATTAAAAAAAAAAACACTTGATTGTTAAATTAATAAGAAGTTCATAGATTAATACGTGAATTAGAATTCGAGTCCTCTGTCCAACTATAGGAACTGGAACAACTTGTTTTGTGTCCAAGAACACACTTACTCTCCGCTGGGTCATCACTGACGGATGTCCTGCTAGACTGTCCAAGTCCCATGTCTTCTTAAGAGGTGAAGTTCTCCAGTTTAAAATGGAAACATCCTCTGAGTTTGTTAATAAGGATATATAGCTGGATAGAAGAATGACCTGTGACAGGGACAGAGTGAAGCGAGAGTTTAATAAGAATCCAATCTGGACCGACTTTCCATTACAGTGTTTATGTTACATAGACTGAGCGGGTCACAAATGTCAAGTCTAGCACGCGACAAAGCGACCATTGCAAATCCATTTATCCTTCGTATGAGAAGAATCGCGAATGCTTAGAGTACATCAGAACTAGAACGAGGCATCAGTTTACTGTCGGGATTGGTTCGCATGCAGTGTAGACAGCAACACTGATTATAATGAGTTATATTGTCTTTTATTGCATCGCACCACTCGCGTCCGGTGTAGACACGGTGTAACACCAGTTCTTTCTTTTATCTCTTGCTTTTAATGGGCCGTGAAATCAAATACACTGCTGAAAACTGAGCGATCATTGCCATTATTGTAAAAATTGTAAAAATAAAAAACAGCATTTAAACAAAATAGTATTTTTAAGTACTTATGTGTTTTAAAGTAAACTTTAGAAGGTTTGTAGTAGTGCTGCCAAATTGATTAATCGCGATTATCAAATACCACTCATTTGTTTGCGCCCTCCGGCTTCGAGTATGAACGAAACGTACATTAAACGAGAGCGTTTAGCACTGCAGAATATCCTGTCTTCCGGATTTGAAATCTAGATTTATTCACATTGGCCCATGAACACCCCTGCATGAGATGAATTTACGTTTAATTAAAAGTGCGTATTCATGTATTCTACACACATGCATACATTCAGTACTGGGTAGATTACGAATTGTAGCCAGTTACTGTTTTCAAATTACATTAAACAAAAATTTGTAGATAGTAATGTAATTTGAGGTAATATAATAGGACTACTTTTAGATTACTTCTGGCGAATCATAATAGGATCATACAGTACAGTAAAATGCAAAGAGAAAGAAAACATATTTCGTTCTTTGTAATCAACATGAAGTGCATTAATGTAATGTACATTAGGGCAGGGTTTCCCAGACTGGTGAGTGAGTTTAATGAAAAGCTATTAAGTCATTCAAATTAAAAATTTAAATAAAACACTTGGTAAAAAGATAAAACCTACATGTCATGAGACCATTAACCGACATCAGAGAAACGTAAACTTAATGTTATTATTACTATTATTGACTTCATTGAATTATTGACCTAACTTATTAGGCTAATTTAAAATCTCAACTGGGTATCCTAAATATATTGTATTAAACTGACCATGTTCATCTGACAAAAAAAGTTAGGCAATCCCTGATCACCGGTTGTCATAAAATAAGGGCTGTATTTCACCAATACAATAAAATGAAAGTAGATTTTATTTTAATTGATATTTTTATAATCGCTATTCATTCATTGAATGATAACTGCAAGCCAAAACATGATTTAATGTTATTTTTAGCATGCTTGAATTGTTTAAAAGCCCTTAAAAAGCCAATAATACATTTCAAATACAAATATGTTGCGTGATATGATGTTCTTCTATAAAAGGTATTAGATCACTATCAATTTCCATGACAATAATGTGAAATTTTCTATATTTTCTCAAATAAATACACCAAACCTATAAACTGGATAAAAGGCGAGACAACTAGACCCTATTAAAAGTACTTTACTTTGCCAATAGACTACTCAATTACAGCAGCTTACATATCGTTCACTGGTTACTTTACACAGTAACATAAACAGTATGTAAAGTCTAAATAGAGTGGCAGAAATAGATGAGTTGGACTAGTAAACACAATGTAAGATCACGTCCTGTATTGACCTGTAGCTGAACTCTGTTGTATATAAATCATCAGCAATCATAAACTTACCGTTTAATATGGTCGGATGGTCGAGTTGATCCTCACAGCGATGCCAGCAGCAGTCACACACTGGTCACAGGCGAGACTGCAGTGTACAGATGAGTGCTGGACACAGAGACTATCCCACACAACTTCTCCACTCACCGCAATGCCGTGATAAGATCCTTGCAGAGCCGGAGTCAATGACACACTGATGCAGAACACACGAGCATGCTGCTTTACCTCCCATATGCGCTCGAGAGTCTCATGCCTGCATCACAACACACACACACATCCGCGGACAGTCCCAGTCTCCGAGCAGAGGACATCTGATCTGATCCAGATCACCGTGTGTGCGTGTGCGTGTGTGACTGACTGCTGAGAGCTGCACAGCTGAGCTCACGTCCTCAACTGTTGATCAACTCATCACTATGCGTCTGTGGAAACATCTGATGGGCATCGCATGTGATGATGATGATGATGATGATGGCGTCGGGAAGGTTCATTTATTCATGCATGATGTGGATGTGGCAAGCAGGCTACTGTATACGCAATGTTACTGCGCTGCTGTAAAAATACCTTTTAATTTATTCAAGAATTCGTAATAAAATACATTTTATACAGTGACTTAGATTTTTTTGTAATTTCTTAAAATAATTTTAAAAAGTAAAATATTATCATTATTCGAAAGAAAAGTTTAAAATAACATTTGAAAGAGTAGTCAAATCAAAATCAGCGTGGTGTAGGCTAACGCCATTTTGTTTTCATGTGACAACAAACGGACCCTAATGTCAAGGTCAGCAAGTTTCTTAAAACTATCTATTTATTTGACCTTTTATGACATGGCAAGGTTAGGTCGTCGAATGTAATCACTATTCATGATTCAAACATACATGATACATTTTTGTTTGTTTGTTTGTAGGATTGAAGACAGTCCCCGTGAACCGGAAGTGGCAAACGATTTTTCTCCAGTGCTGTGACGTATTTCCAAGTGAAACGGAATATTGAACAGAGGGCAGGGTTTTACTCTCCATCTGTCGCTCATAGCAAACTAACGGTTTGAGGGGAGTGGTTAAGCGTTTCCCCACCCAAACTGTGAAACCTACATCATCAGAAAAAGAAACCGTTCCAGACCGGAAGTAACTTTTCAGATTTTGATTAAAGATTACTAAGGTAAAACATTTTTTTTATATATATATATTCACTTGGACGGATTAATTGTTCACCACAAGATTAGTAATATGCGCTAACAAAGTAAATAGGTTCAATTTTGATTTCACGGGGACAAATAGTAACGTTAGCCTACAGATAATCACGAAGTAAATATTTTAATATGTTTTCCTTTATGGTTACACCACTTGACACATTCCACAAATTAAAACTGAGTGATAATTGCAATTATTGTAAAAACTGTAAAAAAAATAAATAAATAAATAAACAAATAACCTGTAAAAAAACAACATTTAAACAAAATAGTATTTTTAAGTTACTTTTATGTTTTAAAGTAAAGTTTAAAATGTTTGTTTTAGTAGTACTGTCAAATTGATTAATTGCGATATTCGCATCACATAAAAGTTTGTAGTTTAAAAAATATATTTATATGCATATTTTTACTGTATGTTAGATTAGTTATGATTTATTGATTTGACCACACTAGTTTACAATCAACCGAAAGTTTTTTATTGTGGATCATAATTGTGGAATAGAATAAAATAGAGTATCCACATCAAAACATAAACCACTGCAGAGTGCAGATCTTAAAGGTGCAATACCTAAGATCTAGATGCCGCTAGAGGGCGCTACATTCAAAACAACAACAACAACGGCTTTGCTTGATGACGCCGTGGAGGAACGCGGAATGATGGGAACTGTTGTTTTCAACTCCACCGTGGATAAATCAGTCAGACGGGAATCGAAAATTAGTTGTCATGGATGAGGTAAAGTTCGATTTCTATAAACGTTGCGTTTAATGACATGCTTGTATTTCATTAAACTGAAATAACCGTGCAAGAAAAGTCAGGTTTAAAAGTAAATTAGTTATCACAGATGTTACTGTACGAGTCACTGGACGAAGCTATGGTGGAGAGGGTTTGAAGGGGCAGGTCTCTCGCAAGGAGTTGACGTGGTTGGCCCTCCTTGGTAACTTTATAAAAATAAAAAATCAATTTAATGTCAGTTATCCCAACCTGCAAGAATTCATTTCCGGGAGGTATATTTCGATAACAAGATTGTGGGGGTGGGAGGGAAGGCTAACTTTCGCGTTCGCGAGGCACAAACGCAAAGTCTCTCCCTCTGTACAGTGCACGCGCAGCGCGCTGTATGTTATGCGCGCAGTATGTCTCGCTCTAACATTATATCCCGGGAGATTTGAACTAATTTGCGGGCATCAGGGAAACGCTATCAATATGCGGGAGATCCGGGAGACTTGGGATGTCTGCAATGTACATTTGACACATCTTTTCATGTCGTGTAAGTATTCAACCACAGCTACAGTTTCACAAAATTAACGTTAAGGGGGTCGCACACCGGATGAGAAGCTGCAGCGCCGCGTTGCACCACATAATTATTCGAACACATTATTATCTATAAGTGTACACATACCGGCGGCGCCATTCGGCGTCTGTCCGCGGCGCCCAGCAACGTTTCAGGACCGTGTTCAAAACCCTGCTGCGCCACAGAGCGCCATTTACATAGTTTTATATAAAATTGTAATTATTTTTGCCTCAAACCGTTGCTAATGGATCCTGACTTTGCCCTATGCTGCAATATCTATGCATTTAGTTTTGCAGTCATTTACAGAAATCAGCTGCTTGAATGACAATTACTGATTATTATTAGATTTTTCACGTGAGATTCTCAATTCATTCTGTGAACGGATGCTCTGAGGTAAAGTTTTCAGAATGCAGACTCAGCAACGATTGTATTTAATTGTACAGTACAATAACATAGAACAGACATTATCTTCATTTTCTGTCATTAAACATAACAATATTGCTGGCCATACACTGATGAGAAAGTGCGCGTCCGGTGTTCGATAACGTTACTGGAGTTGTCCTAAACGTGACGCGGCGCTTCTCGTCCGGTGTGCGACCCCCTTTACAGCCAACTGTTCACATTCCGAGAATAAATGAAAAGAATATATGTGCTCCATTCCATAACAAATGCGCGAAACAAGCTGCCGTTTGATAGGCGCTAACGCACAACTACAACTACCGCATTTGTCCAGGACTACACGTAGTAAGAGCGGAAACCGAGGTAAGCGGATATGACGCGATTGACTCGCGACTCCCAGCTCACCCCTGCTGACACGTGCCGTTTCCTTGGTTAAAATCTCAATTTTCTCGCGATTTAAACATTGTTTGAAACATTTGGAATATTGTGAGTTATCATCTTTACTAAATATATAACACTGGCCTTGTGATTTTGGGATATTTTAATGCAAAAATCTTAGGTATTGCACCTTTAATTGAGCATGTCAAGGGCCAAGGTCATGTGAATTTAGATATTTGCTTAGCTTGCTTTTTTACGCAGGCATGTGAGGCTAATAAATTTGCTCTGGGTCTGTCGTCGGTCTTGAAAGTGAAATTCTTTTTAGGCGGTAAGAGAGCAATAGGATCTCTCAAAATCCAGCCAAATCACCATTACGCTCTTGGCACACCGGAGTACTTTACAAGATTAGATGCCTCATGCACACACAGCTCTTTTATAGCTTAACTGGCATTTACAAATACACTAGTCACCTTTCCTGAATAGACTTACACAACACGTTTTATCGCACAAGCATGCTTCTTTTCAATGACTCAAACTGATGAGCTTTTTTCTTTGCTAAATGATAGAAGTGTTGTTTATTCAGGAGAAGAAGAAGACTACAGTTCTCAGCATGGAAGGTCAAACCACGATGGAATAACAAGCAATGATCAGCTGTAGAACTTGTGCTTCCATCTAGTGGTGCAGGACTGAATTAGGTTGTAATTTACATCTAGTTGCATAGTTATTTACACACACGACACATACTGCACTAATTTATAATTAAAATGTGTTTCTCTGGAGATTTAAAGTCATCTGATTTGGCTTTTCAATTAGATAGACGTATAATAGATCTTAAGTGTATTCTTCAATATTGCTTTATAACCTTCAAACTTTAGTGATTTTGAGAACACTTTCAGGCAAGGTTTTTTGAACATTGAGCATTTATTTTGCAGTTTGCAGATTCTCGTCTGTCGAGGACATCATTGGCTCTTATTCTCAGAAGCCTGTATTTACTTGCACAGACTGTATGTGATCAGTCACCGCAGGTATGTGACATTTATAGAGTTCATTTGTTTATTTAATGTAAGTAAAAAAGTAAAAAAAAAAAAGAAGTACACAGCAAAATCCCCAGTTTTGAATTAACTCTGCTCAGAGTACATATGGTCCCACTCTAAAGGGTGTTAAAGTAAGGGTACGTTTACACATGACAACGATATGCTTAAAACGGAGAAGATTTTCCTTTGAGTTTTCCGCGTAATGACACCATTGTCAAAACGATCCACATTCACACGGACACGCAAAAATGACTAAAAACGTTGTATTCTGCTGCCAGGCCATTAGATGGCAATAAAACACTATAGACTGAACACATAATATGCATGTGCATGATGTCATCGTCTTCAGAGGTTTGTGTTTTTGTTGTTTACACAGAAACCGTTTTCAAAAACTTGCACTTGGAAACCTGTTTTCAAAACTTTTTAAACTGCAGCCGTTAATGCCGGACAAAAGGAGATTCACATCACCATATGGAAAGAAGCGTAACTGGATGGGGAAGCATAGGTTACTGCAAAGCCACGTCTTAGTCTTGGCGAAAGCCGGGTAAAAATTAGCATGAAGTTTTTAACATCTACTCTAACTCACATGTAATGGAAATCATGAATATCTGGATACGTCCAGTTGCTGGCAACAAGGGAAAGACCTTGTGACAGCCTGGAGAGACAGCTGACAGGAGAAAAGAGACCCCAATGGGGCTGGTAAGGGTTAGCTACCCTTGTCGGCAGTATCCAGCTCCGTGTTTACAGGATGCCTGAGACACCCGCCCAAGGCTTCTGAGAAGTTAAAGAGAAAAATACCCCTAGAGTCTGCGAGAGTGGGGGCGGAAGATGACTCAGTGTTGGACAACATGGTTAACGACTTAGGAATAGAAAAGGATATGAGTATGGAGAGTAAGACTAGTTCAAGATCTGCAGTTAGTAAAGTACTTGAACTCCAAGCTTGTGTCATTGATCAGCACTTCTTACAAAGTCAGTCAAGTCAGTCGAATGATATTCAGCGACAGGAAACAAACCACAGCTTGCAAGATATCAGCACCCCTGTCATAGAGGAGAGGAGGGTTTGCACAGTTGGTGATGAACATATTCATACTTCTGAACCCGGTCAGACTAACCAGCATAAGAGAGAAAAGAACCTCAACGGACATAGGCCTGGAGCTTGTGAGAAAACTGGAGCTCTTAGATGGCCAAGAGCTTGTGAGAAAACTGCATGGGATACGGTAAACACAGATCTATGC